AGGCAAAGTTGTATATTTCACATGGATGCCACCTCCCCGAATGGCCTAGGTCTGGTTCCTGCATCCCTGGCCCCAAGAAAACACCTAGTGGGTCTGATCCTTCCGGTTACAGAGGCAGCCGTGCCAACAGTCCCTCGAATTAGGTAGTGCTTTGGCAGCTGGATGGTTACTCCTGGCCAGAGAGTGTTAGGACAGCCTTGCCCCTCCTCAATGGGAAGGACCTCAAAGCCACACCCCTTCCCAATCCAGTCAGCCCTGGAGGCTGCCCTACCAGCGGGTTGGGGACTCTGAGTCAGGTCTGGGGTCACAGAAATCAGGGAGGAGGGGCCAGAATCAGATGTCAGGGGCCTCCCCACCCACCCCCGCCTCTTTGATGAAGGGATGGGAGAGTGGGAGAGGGGGGTGTCTCAGGGAGCCCAAAAATCAGGAAGAGAGGCTGTGGAACCAGTTCAGACCCAGCCTGGGGTCTGGGGACCAGAGTCAGAGTTCTTAGGGAGGACTGGGATCTGGGGTTGGGGCCTCAGGGCGCCACACCGCCTATATCACCTCCTCCACCGCCCCATTTAGCACTTACAGCAGGTGCAGGCCACAGCCTAGCAGGCAGGGCATCAGAGAGTGAAGGGTCACCCCCCCCCAGAGTCCCCAGGCCCCGCCCCCTTTAGAGCGCATCTTACCAGGTGTGAACAGCGCGATGGCCTTGAGGCAGCCATATTCTGCGGAGGAGGGGAGAAGGGATGAGGGGTGAGGAGGTGGGGGAGGAATGATGAAAATGGTAAGGGGGAGTGTGAAGGAACATGGGGAGGGTAGAGAGGGGGGGGAGAGGTGCCAGGAAGGAGGAGGGATGGAATAGGGGGGAAGCAGATATCCAGAGAATCATGGGGGCAGGTAGGGAGAAATAAAGGGGAAAACAAAGTGATCAGAGGGTTAGTCAGCCCCTCCCCTCTAAAAGCCCCCACCCCTAGCCTTTCCCTAAAACCCCACCCCATGGGCACACAGCTTATTGGGAGGCCAGGGGTTCCGTCCTGCAGCCACCCCCCACCCCCCTCCCCGGCTCTGCCCTGTGCCTCCAGCCTGAGCCCCCAACCCCACCCAACTTCCTACAGAGGAGGACCATGGTGGGGGGACCTTCCTGGGTGGGAATGGGACCACTGGGTGAGGGCGAATTTCAGACATGCCTGGCCCTCTCCCACTGGCCTGTGTGAGCTCCAGTCAGCAGCCAGGGAGGCTTGACCTGTCAATCATGGGAGTCCCAGAGCTGAAAATGGGGCCAGGGAGGGGGTATTTTCCTAGGCCTTGGGACCCTGGCCAGCTTGTCCCTAAAGCAAGTGATCTCTCCTATGGAGATGGGATCATTTCTCTTTCTCCCAGCCCCGCGTCCCAGGTCATGGCCCCCAAGAGGATCTGTCTGTCTGGGTCACTGCAGCTGCCCCAGTGCTGAGAATGGAGCCTTAGACAGCAGTAGGTGCACAATAAACATGAGCTGCCACCAGTAGCCTTGACGGGAGGAGGTAGAGGACTCACTTTGCCTGGGAGCCAGGCAGAGACTGGGCTTTACTGAGTTGGCAGGCCCTGTCTTGCCATCTCCATGAACTTCAGGTCAGCCTGCCATGGAGCAGATGGGGCGGGGACATGGTGGGAGCCAGGGGCATAAGCAGATGGGGGAGGAATGACGAAATGGGTAAGGGGGAGTGTGAAGGCTTGGGATGAGCCATGCTCTGCTCTCAGAGGTTGGGGACCTTCTCCTGCCCCCTTTGCTCACTCAGTGCTAAACCCCACCCCCACTATTCCCCCATCCCCTGACCATGTTCCCACCTCAGGGCCTTTGCACTTGCTGTTCCCACTTCCTGAGCATCTTTCCCCCAGTCTTCCTCCTCATTCAGCCCAGAATGTGTGGGTTCGAGCCTAAACCATAACTCTACTGCTCTCATACCCTGGCAAACGGCCCACCTCCCTGCTCTGCTGTTCCCCCCTCTGTAAGATTGAGGAGATAATAATAAAGATGATGACACCAATCACTGAGTTACGTAAGAATCTATCTAACGGGCTTAGGACGGCACTTGGCACATAGCAAGGGCTAAGTGAATAGTAATTCAAGACAAGAAACATTTACTGAGCACCTTTTGTGTTCCAGGGCCTGGTCTATAAGCAGTGGGGATGTGTCACAAACAAGACAGAAGTCTTCCTCCTCAGAGAGGGGACATTCTAGTAAGAGCAGGTAAATTGCAGAGCGAGGTAAATGGTGTGAAACCAAGAAGGAGGATGAAGGGTAGACAGGAAGGCTTCTCTGAGGAGGTGCTATGTGAGCAAACCTTAACGGAAGGGAGGGAGGAAGCCAGGCAGGTGTCTGGGGAAAAGCATGCCAGGCAGAAGGAAGAGCCCATGCAAAGGCCGAGGCAGGACTGTGCTTGGGAATGAGATGCAGTTATGACGGTGCCCACTCCTGAGACGGGAGATCTGAAGCCCTGGTTTGAAGAACCGAGGGGTTTTAGGTCAAATGGACAAGTGGAGGCAAATCCAGGTGGGGAAGGAGGCAGGACAGTCACCTCAAACTTAAAAGGACCAAAGGGACTGATCAGATGGTTTAAGAGACAGAGTTTGAACAGCCATTCCTAGCTTCTTCTAGAAGCCCGGCAGAGAAGAAACCAACTTTAGACCAGGAAAAATTCCATTTCAATGCAGGGAAGAACTGCTGGCCTGGCCCCTGAGAGTCCAGCAGAAACATGACACCCAGCATGGGGTCAGATCTGTTCTAGAGCCCCTGGGCTCCCGGTGGAAGTCTCTGCATTCCACTTCAATTCTAAGGGTGGAGTTCTAGGCCGACTGCCAGCATATATCCACCCAAGTCCCCAGGGCAGAGACAAAAGCCTGGGCCTCCCTCCGCTCCCAGGGCCAGGGGTCAGGCGGAAGGACAGGCTGCCCTTTGACTTAATCAGACAAGTTCCTGCCTTGGGCAAACATAACTGCAGGGTGGAGTGGGAGGGAGAGAAAGTCAAATAAAAAAATATGTCCTTGTTCAGAAAGAGGTGGCCAGGCTAGGGGACAGGGGCAGGGAGGTCACTGAGGTGTCAGGGCCAGAGCACCTGCCTCTGAGGTCAGGGAGGCTGGAGAACAGTCCTAACATGGGCCCATGAGGGCATCCCTTGCAGCCCCAGCTCCTGCACAGCCACAAGGCAGCCTCGGGTAATTGGATTCCTGGGCCCTGGGCCCAACTGAGACCCGTGGGATCTCAGATGGGTGGTAACGAGATTAGCAGGCACCAGACCCCAGAGAGGGAATGAGGGCAGGCCATTTGTCTACCCTCTGTCTGCCCCACCCCAGCAGACTCACCCTCCTTCCTCATGCCCACCCGGAAGCACTTCTTGAGGCGGCAGTATTGGCACTGGTTCCGGTGATGCTGGTCGATCTGGCAGTCACGATTAGACCTGTGGGCATGCAGAGGTCACCATGTGGGTCACTGTGACACCCACACCCAGCTCCCAAAGCTACCCTCTGAGCCAACTCCGAAGGCTGCACCTGGGAAACACTGGTACTCCACCCACCCCAGGCTGGGTAGGTACCCCAAAGGGGCACCAAGGTTACGCCTGCAGGTCTACAAAGAGGGAAGGACAGCCCGGCTGGCATGGCTCAGTGGTTGAGTTTTGACCTATGAACCAGGAGGTCATGATTCAATTCCTGGTCAGGGCACATGCCCAGGATGCGGGTTCGATCCCCAGTGTGGGTGCAGGGGGCAGCCAATCAATGATTCTCTCTCATCATTGATGTTTCTTCTCCCTCTCCCTCTCCCTTCTTCACTGAAATCAAATTATAAAAAAGGAAAGGAAAGGACAATTGGGGGTGGGTGGTGACAGATGAATAGGAGTCTGTGGCAAAGTAGATTAGCACACCAGGGAGGGTTTATTGGAACTGGGTTTTGAAGGATGAATAGTTCCCCAGGTGAATGGAAAGTGCAGGAGAGCAAAAGGTTGGAAATGTGAAAATACGGAGGCCTAAACAGTTTCATTTTATGTAGCCAATGACACACCAAGGGGTGCGGTTTGTCCCAGGGGCACTTCGAGAGCAGAGAAGGTACAAGGTCAGGGAGCTGACGAACAGTAGAGGCCAGGCCAGGCCAGAGCCAGTCCTCCACGGGGTCACAGCACTGTGGGGGCCCCGGCATGATCACCCTGCACAAGGCCATCACCAATGAATGAATGAATGAACTCCTGTCCCTGCTTTAAGACCCCACACCCGTGTCTCTTCCTCTGGAAAGACCTTCCAACTCCTAACTGAGCCCAAGAAACTTCTTTCTGGTGGCCCTCAGGGATCCTTGTTGCCTCTCCCAGGTATGGGACAGGTGGCCGGGCCCTGTGAGGCAGTCAACCCCAAGCAAGAGGATTCAGGAGCTTGTCCTTCGTATGTCCCCAGCATCTCTTCCCCTTGGCCCTTGCCCCTCTATAACTCTCTCCACCCTGGTCCCAGGGCTCTCTGAGCCCAGACCCGGGGCAGATACCCCTGAGCTTCCAGCTGAGCACGAAGAAGTTCATCCAGAGAAAAATCAGAGTAAAACACTTACTGAAGTTAAAAATCTAACTCCTCTCGGTTGAACATGCAGCCCTGACCCTCCTGCAGCAACTTCTCCACCAAGCCCGTTTCCTCATTTGGAAACAGGAGGCCAGAGGCCAGCTCCACATGAAATGCACTGGGTCAGGTGGGTGGGGCTGTCTGAGGGGCTCTGGGGGAGGTGTCAGGCCCCTGCCCCCAGGCCCCAGCAGGAAGTGCCAATAGCAGCTTTAGAAGAGCTGAGGCTCTGGAGAGCCTCCGAGAGCCTGGATCCTGCAAGTGGCAGCCTCTGAGCTCAGGCCTCTGCCCCTAAACAGCCCCAGCCCCCAGGAGGAGGCCCTGCTAGGGCGGAGGGAGCTCAGGCAGAACCAGAACAAAGCCCAGCAGGCAGGCAGTGGGAGGGTCCTAGGCGGCGGGCTGGGGGCAGCCGGCTGGAAACAGCCAAGCCTAGGGTGGGTGGGCAGGCAGGCAGGGGCCCAGCTCAGGGCCCTGACCTCAGGGGAGGCCTGGAACCTTCTGCTTCAATTTCCCCAGCTCTGGAGTCAGGACAGCTTTCCTGGTCCTCCAGATGGGGAAACAGAAAGTTCAATGATCCACCTAACAGGCACATGCTTGGCTCAACCCGGGGCCCAACTGAGCTTCCTCCCTGGACTTCTGGCTTCCAGTTCAATTTGATTAGAGCCCTCCCTTGCTCACACCCTCCACTGCCCCTGTGGCCCTCAGTCCAGCATTTCAGGCCCACTCAGCTCTTACTTCCTCCCATGCCTGGGTGGTCTCATCTTACAACAATGCTCCCCCAACCTGCCACTGGGAGTCTGCCTGGACCAAACCCCTCCTACTTTAAGGCCCATCCCGCTGCCCTCCTCCAGGGAGCCCTCCCTGACCCTCAGCCAGAGCCCCTTGTTCCCTCCTGGGACCCCAGACCTATCGCTCCCTTTGGCCCAGCCCCGACTCCACAGGCCGGGTGCTTCTGCATCTCACTGTCCCTCCATCAGACGGGGAGAGGGCTGGACATGGAGCTAGAGTCTCTCCTAGGGGGCTGGCATCACACTACCCAGGATGGGCCCTGAGGAAACTTCACTGAAGGGCAGTGACTTCATCTGGTGACACAGGCCTGAGCGTCCAAGGGTCCTGTCAGCCCCTAACAATGCCTCCTCTCCCCAGTCTTGGTGCTCCCACCCTCAGGGAACCTCTGGGACCTCAAAACCGCCTGCACCCCTCCTTTGCCCTCCCCAAAGACCTGGCCAGCAAGCAGGCAGTTATTCCAGCAGCAAGAATGAGGCCGTCTGGTGGCCCAGTTAGCACTGGAGGAGGGAGGAAGCCAGCTC